CAGAAAAGGATCAGTAAAACAGAGGTCTTGGTTCTCACGTGCTGTATTGCAAACTTCTCTCCAGCTCTTCTAGTCTCATAGACTTGAAATCTCAATTTTTGGAGGAGTCAATTTTTGGGGTCTCATGGATTGGCAGTAAATTGTGCTCAGAACATAGACATGAATGCACCTTTGATTATTGTATTTTTTGGAGACTAAAGGACAGTGTATGACGGGTTCCTCCATCAGAGGCCATCCTAGATGTTTCATTCTAGGCTGGGTATACATGCATAAATAAGAATGTGGTGGTTGGAATCCATAAGAAGCCAAATTCCCTATCATTCTAGACCAATGAGCCCTATGACAGACTTACACATCGGCTTTATCTTGATTCAGAAACCATGCAGTGCAAATGCTGATGGATGAGACAACAGCAGTACTCTCTTAGCAAATGGGGTGAGAGAGGTTCTCTGATATTCATTCGTCCTCTGACACTTGTCTGACTCACTGAACTCGCCCTACGGCTCTTCCACCTTGCTGGCAAAGGTTGTGTCTAGACTCTAGGGTTTTTCCAGGATACCCATTATCCTGCCGGAAGTATCCTGGAAAAACTGCTGCATCCAGGGAACTCTTCTGCCTTTTTGCGGAAGAGCATATGCACTCTTTTGGAACCCCTGCCTTTCTCCTTCCACGAGGAAGAAGGGCTCTTCTGAAAGAGGAGGATTTTCTGAAATTTGGCTTGATGTAGACGGGCCAAATTTCAGAAAAGCCTCTTCCAACAAAACTATTGGAAAAAGGTATGCAAATTGCAGAACACATTTTGCATACCTTTTTCCAATAGATCATTGTAGTCTAGACAGAGACAAAGAAAGGAGGTCCTTAAGCAAGTTAAGTTACAAACCACAAGAGCAGCATGAGCAGAACAGCCTGTAAAGCAGTTGGGATCATCTTGTCCTGGAGGCGAGGATATCCTACCATAGATCTCTCTCCGAAGGGAGCAGAAGTACTGTGTCCTCGTTTTTTGTTCAGAGGAAGGATGTATAGAAATCTAATGACAAATTCCACTGGTTTCCATTACTTACTTTGGTGATCAGACAGGAGGTGCCTCACATCCTTGCTATTACAGCTTCAGCAGGGTGAGCGTAATACTTGGAACTCCTAGCGTTCAAGAGTACCATCACCAGAGAATGAGTTGTAACCCATTCTGCCTCTCCATCTGCAGTGTTTTCACCTCCTAGCTCGGCGTGTGGGACACAGTTAATGATCTAGCATGTTCTGCAAGAGTATAGATTGTTTTGATGCAGTCCAAGAAACACTTATGTGCTGAAGTGTTTCTCCCCAGATGGAGGCAGATTTTCCAGTGGCCAGCATAAGAATGGCCGTACTGGGTCAGACCAAAGGTCCATCTAGCCCAGTATCCTGTCTACCGACAGTGACCAGCACCAGATGCCCCAGAGAGGGTGGACCGAAGACAATGACCAAGCGATTTGTCTCCTGCCATCCCTCTCCAGCCTCTGACAGACAGAGGCCAAGGACACCATTTTATCCCCTGGCTAATAGCCTTTTATGGACCTAAGCTCCATGAATTTATCCAGCTTCTCTTTAAACTCTATTATAGTCCTAGCCTTCACAGCCTCCTCTGGCAAGGAGTTCCACAGGTTGACTACATTCTGTGTGAAGAAGAACTTTCTTTTATTAGTTTTAAACCTGCTACCCATTAATTTCATTTGGTGTCCTCTAGTTCTTCTATTATGGGCACTAATAAATAACTTTTCTTTATCAGCCCTCTCCACACCACTCATGATTTTATATACCTCTATCATACCCCCCCTCAGTCTCCTCTTTTCTAAACTGAAAAGTCCCAGTCGCTTTAGCCTCTCTCCATCTGGGACCCGTTCCAAACCCCTAATCATTTTAGTTGCCCTTTTTTGAACCCTTTCCAAGGCCAAAATATCTTTTTTGAGGTGAGGAGACCACATTTGTACACAGTATTCAAGATGTGGGCGTACCATAGTTTTATACAGGGGCAGTAAGATATTCTGGGTCTTATTTTCTATCCCTTTCCTAATAATTCCTAGCATTCTATTTGCCTTTTTGACCGCCGCTGCACTCTGTGTGGAAGTTTTCAGAGAACTGTCCACGATAACTCCAAGATCTCTTGCCTGATTTCATAGCCAAATTAGCCCCCATCATACTGTACGTATAGTTGGGGTTATTTTTCCCGATGTGCATTACTTTACACTTATCCACATTAAATTTCATTTGCCATTTTGTTGCCCAATCACTCAGCAGTTAGACCCTCTCCATTTTCTGCCCTCATTTAACTGATTTTGAACTACTGTACATGCTTATCCCAAGGTATCTTGTCTCAGCGTGTCTTATCCTCAGTCAAAGAGCACTTAGCTGCATTACCACAAATGGCACCTTCAAAGTCTTCAACTATCTCACTGTTGCAGGATTCCTCAAAGGACTGTTTACTCTCTGCCAATCAGAGAGCCTGCCTCATGTGAGATCGCCACATTGGGACTGAGACATAATTATTGGAGGCACCTCTAAAAATGCTTTTGTGAGCAAGGCAGAAGACAGATCATTCACATCAATTAGGTTTGCAATAAAAATTAGTTGTGGGCTTTGGTAGATGTTCTCTCCCTTTTACAAGCACATTCATGATCTTACACAGAGGCAAAAGTTATTCTTTGTTCCATCCAAAATTTTTACCTAAAGTAGCATCTAGTATTTCACTGAAAGTAGACCCCTAATCTCCTTACCAGTGGGAAAGTAGGCTCTCTAACCTAGATAGTCAGAGGACTGAGTTTGGATTGTCCTAAAGTATTTGGGAAATCAGGGGAAGTTTTTGCTGCCACAGTCAATTCATACGTAACCAGATGAGATGGTGCTTTGAGGCATCATGTGTTTTCTGTGGTATCTGTGTATCACTATTTCCATGGTGTCAAAATCTGCCAGGGCTCAGAGATAGAGAGCTTGCTTTCACAACACTATCATTGTAGAGATCCTTCTACCTGAAGCTCTTTTCTCATGTTTGCTCATTACTATTCTCTTGACTGAGCATCTGTAGTGGAGGTTTGGTTTGGGAGAGTAGCTGTGCAATTTTGTTTGTTTAAAACTCGTCATGCCTCCTGCTTGGGAGTTGTAATGCTCGCTAGACCCTACAAATGGGAATATGGAAAGGCTACCTTGAAGTTGTAGTTGTTGTCTTTGAAAGCATTGCTTCTGGATTTCATGCTCCCCTTGCATCTTCTCTCTCATCCTTGGAGTCCTACTCTTTGAAGGACTTCAGAATTTAATGAAAGGAACTGTGGTGGTGAAGACCCTATGGCCTCTTCCCACCTCCGCTCTGAGCTTCCAGTGGTGAGGGTGTTTGATGAAGGCCCAGTAGGCACCATTTTCTAGCCTTTCTTAAGGTTTGTAGTGCCCAGAGGACATATTTCTTCACCTGGGAATATGCAGACACAACTTTTTCAAAGAACTGCAGGTACTGGCTAGTAACCTTTCTTTCCACTAGTGCTTGCATGCATTTTATTATCATTTAGGATAATTTGCATTGAGGAGAGAACAAACCCTTTAGGCTAAGGATGTAAAAAGTCATTTAAAAATGTAGCCATGTAACTGCTACACAGCTTAGGCTTACTGGTTAATCTGTTAACCATTTAAATCCCTTCTTGAGACCCACAGTTATCCTTCGGAGACATTTCATAAAGCTTGGGCTGACTTAAGGTACTTTCCAAGATAGTGATGTTAGCCAGTGAATGTGATGCATCAGACAAGTTGGGGATCTCTAATTCTTTGAGGAAGTCTGGCGTTTTCTCTGAAGTGTGGACACATTTTCATTGAAGTTTGTTTTACTGAACTGTTTTTAAGTCAAACACATGGTACTGTTTGGAGGTCTTTTTTGACACAATGCTGCCACTAGCTGGCTCTTGGCTGGTACTGCATGTTGTTTTGTAACCAGAGGGTCAGCTTAACAGTGTTCAATTTGCAAGTTCAGTGTGTTTTTTATTAAAGAATAATAGATGATATTATAACAGGCTAAAGGGGACGAGAGGGGACAGTAAGAACTTTCTGACTTAATCTATAAATATTTTTAATCCAAATTTAAATATTGTAAGGGCGGGTTTGGAACTGGTAGGAGAATTGCAGTGTAAAGAAATAAACATTCTGTGCTTGCAGTTGCCTCATTCTGAAGGAATGTTAATTTCCCTTTAGGCCTTCCTCTGTTTTCTTAAGTGTTCTGAAGTAGCAGCAAGAATTGGCTATTGAGCCTTTCAGATACACACTGAAGCAAAGGTTCTATATGTAATAATTTTCTTCATCTACAAATGATTTTCTTGGCAAGATGGGGTTTGCATTTTAACTTCCAGTTGAAAAGCTGTTAATGGGAGGCTGGAATTGTAAACAGACACATCAAGTCAGTGGTTTGATTCACTGGTGAGCCTCAAACTCTTCCCCATATAAAGAGCTTGAATATCCAGAGCCTGCAAATGTTGGGTTTGGAGTGTGACGTCTCATGTTTTGGTGCCAGACAAAAATGTAACAGAGTCCTCAACATGACCAGCAAAGTCTGTGGGAGGTCTGTTGTTCAGAAATGGCCCCATTAGGTTTTTATTCTTTTTGCTGCCAGGAAGGAGATGATTGCCACTCCTCTGTATCCGACTAACATTACTTTTGGTTTGTTGGAAGTTGATGGGTAAGAAGACTGCTTTAACGCAGTGAGAGGCCAAGGATGCTGCAGACTCCTGGGGAGTGGAGTTGGTTTTGGTTGGTCAAGCAAGTGCATCACATATAAATGATACATCACTTCTCTCTTTAGTCTTATTAACGTTGACAGTCTCCTGGGCTACAAGTATCTTTCTGCCCTTGGGTTTTGTTACGTTGTGGGAACGTTTTTTGCTTTCAATTCTCCTTTCCCCAGATTTTGTTCAATGGTGCTTGAGTTCTGAAAATGTGTGTGGCAGCAATGATCTGAATTCCTTTTCAGTAATGCCTTAGACCTTCTCTTTCAGAGCAAACGGGACCATCTCCTCATGAATGTCAAATGGTATTATCGCCAGTCTGAAGTCCCAGATTCAGTCTATCAGCATTTGGTTCAGGACCGACACAATGAGAATGGTGAGTCATGCTCTGTAGTGGCACTCTTCACTTGCTTTTACATGGAACTTCACTGAGTCAAGAGGGGTCTCTGAAAAACAAGATTGATGTTTTTTACTAGGGATGTGAAATAATGAAGTCAGTGTGAGCCAGACATTAGAATGCAGATAAGGTCCTTAATACCTGTGATCAGTTTGTTTTAGTAGCACATGGGCCCTTACTATAGCTATGATCTGTTATGCATCTCAGTTATGATGATTTACTGTAGTATATGTATTAATGTCGTATTTGAACACAGCAAATGGGTGAAGTTACTGGCATCCCTCGAGTTCTCTTTGGGCAATACAAATTAACATGTACAAGATCAAATTGTGTTAAGGATAAATCTTGTAACCCCCTTTGCTTTTTGATGCCTCTGACATACTTTATAGATCTCGGTTCTTACCATGGAAGAATTCTCATCCTACTGTATATTAGTACTTGCTGTCACATACTGTTACAGTTGTTGTTCATCCATCGAGGTCAATGAGGACCACCCAGTGTCATCAGTTTAGTTGGGGGTGGGTTGGGAGATGGCTGATTAGTCCAATCCGAGCCCGAAATTGACGGTTACAGTGGGGACATGAAAGATCGGACTGCTGACTGAAGGACGAGAAGATACCAGCCCTGGACTTGCGAAGAAGACGTTTCTCTGCAGCATAACGCAGTCTCTCTTGTTCGTGGGCTATTGTCCCATCATGTATTCGTCTGCACCAGGTGGAACGATCATCAGCAATACTCTCCCAATTTCCAGAATCTATTACACTTCTTAAGGGAGGCCTTAAGGGTGTGTTTGAATCTCTTCTTTTGACCTCCAAGAGATCGCTTGCTGTGTTGTAATGCACCATAGAGCATCTTCTTGGGCAATCAATCATCGGACATGCGCACAACATGGCCAGCCCATCTGAGTTGTGCCTTGCAAAGCATGGTGTGAATGCTTGTCATATTAGCCTGTAGAAGAACATCAGTATCTGGAACTTTATACTGCCATCTTATCTTCAGCAGTTTCCGTAGACAGTTCAGGTGGAAGTGATTCAGCTTTTTCACATTACGACTATATACAGTCCTGGTCTCTCAAGCATAGAGGAGGGTGGGCAAGATTACCGCTTTTGGAAGGCTTCAACTTAATGTTTGGAATCGAAGAGGCATTAAGACTGAGACCAAGCTAAAAGTCTACTCGGCGGTCATCTTGCACTGTTACAGTTAGTGTTTCATTGGAAGCATCGCTAACTGATTCTTCCCCTCTCTTCTGCTCATTGCTTTTTGGACTAAATAGGATTGGCCATACAGGCTCAGACCAATGGTCCATCTAGCTGAATTTCCTGTCTTCTGACAACAGGTGTCAGATGCTTCAGAGCAAGTGAACAGAATAGGGCACTGCATTGAGTGTTCCATCATCTGACATCCGATCCCAGCTGCAAAATAATAAACTGTTTATCTATCTAATAGTGGCAGAAACAGGAATTAAATCTTGGAGGATCATTTTTGCCTTGGCTTTCAGAGACCCATAAAACTTGATGCCACTCTTCTTAGCCGGAAATTTCCCGGAGGCCACCTCAAAACCACTGAAAATCTTTGGAGGTGAATTGTGATCTCTAACTAACTAACAAACAAACAAACAAATAAAAACCCAGCACACACAATCCCAGTGCTTGAAAAATGAAACATTGCACTTAAATATAAGTATTTAAAGAGATTTGACATACAGTGGTATAAATCCATGAATATTTTTTCTTTAATAATGATGATTGGAGGGTCATTTTTGCGTGTGCTGTATAGATTGAACCTCTCAAATCCACGACTCTCTGGTCCAGCAATATCCAGAGATATTGCCGGACCAGAGAGCCACGGCTGCCTAGCTTCAGAAGTGCAGCCCAAGGTGGGCTGGCGGTAGGGAGCACATCCCCAGTGGGGCTGGCACAGTGGGAAGCACAGCCCTGGCCAGGGCTAGTTGCAAGGAGTGTGGCCCCAGCCAGGGCTGGAGGCAGCAGGGCCAGCGGCCAGGGGTGCAGCCCCGCTTGAGGCTGGCGAGGTGGGGAGTGTAGTTCTGGCTGGGGCTGGTACGGTGTGAAACAGCCTCAGCCAGGGCTGAAGGCAGCCAGGTCGGTAGTCAGGAGCGCAGTCCTGACTCAGGTTAGTGGCGTAGAGCGCAGCCTCAGCCAGGGCTGGAGGCAACAGGGCCAGCCTTTGTTGGGGGCTGACATGGTGGTCAACGCAGCCCCGGACAGGGACAGCAGGGTTGGAGGCTGGAGAAGGCGGCAGGGAGTGCGGCCCCCGCCAGGAGCAGAGCCCTACACCTGGGTAGGGAACCTTGACCTCCCCTCATCCGGTGCAAACTGTGGTTCAGGACCACTCTCATCCCGAGGATGCTGGATAAGGGAGGCTTGACGTGTAGTAAAATGTACATAAATCCAATAATTCATGCTCAAGGGTTCAGTTTACATTTCTAAAACGTAAAATATGGACACAAGCCAAAGCCCACATTTTTCATACTTTATGCCATCTATTAAGTAGCATTGTCTGTGGACATAAAATTATTTTTGTGATCCAAGTAGGGATTACTGAAAGTGTCATTGAATGACTCCATATTCAAGGTTGCTTTTTTTGTTTTAAATATCAGTTTAAAAGCATGAAAACAAAGGTTCCTCACAGCCAAAATGACACTGCTGTACTGATCAGTGCACAGATATTAATCAAAATGCTGGTTAAAATTTTACAAATCTCCATCATGTAAAACTATAGAACAGACCAACACGCGGAGCAGGTAGGGACAAGAGGTTACAAAAGAAGCTGCCTGCTCAGTAGAACTCTGTAGACAGGCACCGTCTCCTGTGCTCAGAGTTGTTTGGTTCCTGAATACATAAGGGGTACAAAGTAGGGATGTTTAGGACTAATCGACTATCTGATAAACAAATGCTTATTGGATAGTTGACAGGATAGTCAACTAGTTACTCCCCCTCCTTCCCACACACACATCACTCTGGCTGCCTCTATTAGATAGAGGCAGCAAAGCATTTTAATATTAAAAAATGCATTTACTACTTGATTAGTCAATTACACAGTACTTAACACCCTTAGTACATAGGGAATGCTGCCGTCACTAGTCCCTTTGTAAAAGGCTAATAGTATTTTCGTACCAAATGAGGACCATTAATATTGGTGAGTTGCTCAATACTGCTATAGTGAGTGCCAGAGAGAACCTTATTTTAAATTATATTGTTAATGTTGGTGTGATCTTAATATCTTGATGACTCTGTGTGTTCAAAAAGATGTTAAACTTGGGCTTCAGCCTTCCAAGTGCCTGTGAAACTGCAAAGGTGGATGCTTTGGGACTCTGCAGCTGATGTGTCGTTCTCTTTTCACAGACTCTGGACGAGAGCTTGTTATTACAGATCCAGTGATCAAGAATAGAGAGCTCTTCATTTCAGATTATGTTGACACTTATCATGCTGCTGCCCTTAGGTAAGTGACAGAAGGCTAGGTGCAGCATCCCCCACCAGGCTTGGTAGGGAAGCAAAAATAACACTGAATATCATAGAAGAGATGAAGAGAGCTGTCTTTTGTCCTTTTCTGTGTGGGGAGCATTAACATACCGCTCAGGCGCTTCTCACCACATGCAATAATTAACTTGTGTTATCTGTTCTAATTTGAAAGAAGCTGTGATTCTGAAATCTCATTTTAATCTCAGCTAATCTATGGCATTCGGAGGATATTGTTTCCCATCATTGCAAATTTAGATTATTGCTAGTTGTAGAAATGGTACCCTCCCTTTCTCTTTCATTTTACCATTAACAATAACCTTTCTTTGCAAAATGACTGTTAGTGCAGCCCTGATAAATTGCATTAAAGACTTTTTTGCTCTGAGGCAGAAATCATTGAAGCTCAGTGGAGAGCTCCATTAAAAGCCAGCTTTTAAAACAGAGGTGGTAACGGACCCCTCTATTGTTCTTGTGTTATCTGCCCTTCCCCAGGGGTTATTGCTGTCTTTGCCCAGCTAGTTTTTAACCTAAGTGGATAACCTTTGACCACGCAGAAGGGAAGACACCATTACTTAGTATTTCTCCCTGAAAACATTTCTAAAGCATTATTTTTATTGGCATCCATTGAGTTTTCAGCTTGCCAAAGAGTGCATGGGTATTGTCAAAATGTGAACTGAATTATCTCCCTGATAATAATGCTCAGATGGTGTTTCAGTAAAACCATCTGGAGGCATTTTCTTTGTTCAAAGCCACTTCTCTGAACCCCCTTACTTCAAGGCAAATTAGCTGCAACTTGTGGTTGTGGGTAGGGGAGGTGAAAACAACCTTCTACTTCAGGATTTTACATAAACTCAGAAAATTCCAGTGGTATGCTGTAATCTTCCTGAAACTCCAGAATGGTTTTTGTGTTTCAAGGAAGATAGCTTTCCCATGTTAAAATGACATGCTCTTGAGAGAATAGCTAGCTAGTGTGAGAGGCTGGCTTGATTGTTGAAACCAGGCTTGTAAATTTAATGGTCATCTTAAATGTTGAGAAGGAAACTTATGTGTCGAATTTTCCCAGGGAGTATTGAGACTCTTCTGTGTTGTCATTCGCTTCACCCTTTATTTGAAAATAAATAAATTCAAATAAAATCCAGAACAAATTGGAGGCAACCTGAAACACGCAATGTTCATAGATTAATTTGAGACAAGACTGATGTACTGTATATAGGATTAAAAAAGTATTCACCATGAAAATATTCAGTTACCCTTTAGACTACTCTTTCTGATGGTTTTATCTTCATTATGGCTTACATATTCCATTTATGGCAATCTTTATCTGAATGTCTATCAGTTGTATTTGAAAACAATTCCATTTGAAAAATGAAGCAGAGCTTTTAGTTGCATTTCTAAATATTAACATCCAGGCGCATATTTGTTTGCATAGTGAAGAACTGAATGCATCCTTTCTACTCATTCTTCTCTAGCTAGATGCATTTATTATGTGCCCGTCATTTTTACAGCTTCCTGAATGACAAATGTAAGGAGTGTCACTTCCCCAATGATGTCACAACCTAAATGGCAAAATAGAGAAGACTACACATATCTTTAAAGAAAGATTAACTTGAAATTAAATTTAATAAATGAGAGCATTACCATGCCCATGCCCTCCATGCAAATGTCTGTGCATGATTACACAGAAAGCTGGGAACAGAGAGGAACTATACTGCTCTCAATCCACTGCTCTGATCAGTGCAAAATGTTAATTTGAAAGTGCTTATGAAACATTTTGTAAGTGTATAATCAACACAGTTGTCTTAGACCTGTAGGATACCATTTCAGTAGCAGTATCTAGCACTACCTGCATAGAATGCCATGATGGAAAGATGGTAATGCTTTTATGTATCTGGATAAATGCAGATTCTTGAGTTTATCTATTATTTACTGTACCAGATGAAATATTTGGGGTATTATTCGAAGGAAAGCTTAGAAAAAAATGATTTGCTTTCAAATTATCTGATGAAAATTTTCTGTGAAAGATGAAAACAGATACCACCAATTTTAATTGTTTAGTTTTCTTTGCAAGAAATTAAGATAATTGAGCAAAAAGGATCATCAGTACTTCAAGGCTACATGTTTGATTTCAATAGCAGAGGATTTTAACATTGTATCACAGTCTGATGACAGCTGACCAAGTAATTTTTGGCTTTGCCCCTAGCTGCAGAAGCTGAGAACTAGGCAATCCTAGGGTCTGAATATGAAACTCCTCCACACGAGTAGTCCTGTTGATTTTTCTGAGAATATTCATGTGAGTAAAGTTGCAGGACTGGTCCCCTAGTCATTTTTCTCTTAGCAGTAGTCTATGTGGGTAAAGAGCTTGATGCAGAAAATATTTCTATTTTTAACCACTTTTGGTGGATGGAACTTACAGAAGAGCTTGGCCTGTGAAAGAGTTGCAGGAGGAAACCAATTAGTGTCCCAATCAGTTTTCCACTGCAGTCTTTCAAAAACAGACCAAAAGGTCTAGAATTCTATAGATAAAAAACCCTTGCCAACCTAAGAGCTTTTATGGGACGTGAGTTATTGTTTGTGAAGAGCTTTGAGATCCTTGGATGAAGTTAAATGCTTTGAGTATTATTGTTACTAGTGATAGTCCAGCTAGAGGAATGAATGGACAGTGACTCCAAAATGGAAGGCTTCTATTCTTTTAATATTAACGATATTTACATTGCTGAAAGGATGGGTGGTTCACTAGTCTTGATAATCTCCAGTAACAGATAAAATACAACTGCAAACCTCGGTCTCTGTAGTTGATCAGCCATTTCTCTCTGATGCCCTCTTCTGAACTGTTTGATTTACTTGAATGCTGTACATTGCTATGCAGTGTATTACAGAATACATCAGCTGCTGCACACTAAGTTTAACAAATCCATGCGCAAGACAGCAAAAAGTGAAACATTTTGCTGCTTAATTCCCTTTCTGGCTATATTTAAGGGAAAAAAGATGAGTGCTTTGCATGTCAAAAGTTATAAAGTGATCTCTCAACTTTTCTAAGGACATAATGGGAAAAGCAGTAATTTGGGCAAGTTCTAGATTATATCCTTATATAGTTCTAGAGGCCTCTGGGGGCAGATAAAACAAAACCTTTCCTAGATGTTATTCCTGATGATAGACTGATTGTGCTGTTGCAACATCTATTGTTTTATATTGTTTACAGTGCAACCTTTCTAAAAAACACTTAGCACATTAATTTGTTTTTGATAGGAAAATTTTCAAAGCATCCATACGAGGTTGTCATGAAAATGTATTGGGTGAAACAGCAAGTATACTCAACAGTCTCATGAGGGTGGTGATTAAGACACTGTCATTTTACTCACCCATTTAGAAAAAATCACTTCCCCTAGTTAATTGAATGGTAGATTTTGTACATCAGTTTTAAAGAGCTAGTTATTAAAAAGGAAAAAAAAAAATTAAAAACGGGGCACTGGGAGATGCTCAACCTTTTAAACATTGCAGTTTGGGGGCAGATTGTGTTTAAAGTAGGGGGTCAAGCGATTGAAAAATTAATCGTGATTAATCGTGCGATTCAAAAAAAAATTAATCGTGATTAATCACATGCGCTGCCTCTTTGAAACACCGTGGTGGCATTTCAAAGGGGCAGCACTGCGGAAGCCTGGGATCAGCTGGAGTCCTCAGCTGACCCCAGGCGCAGTGCAGCGCTGCCCCTTCGATGCGCCAGAGCGACACTTCAAAGGGGCAGCTCAACACGGAGCTGGGGATCTGTTGAGCACTCCAGCTGATCCCCTGTTCCACATTGCTGCCTCTTTGAAGTGCAGCCCCTGCCTCAAAGGGGCAGCACAACGGGGAGCCAGTGATCAGCTGGAGTGCCCACCTGATACCTGGCTCCGCATTGCTGCCCCTTTGAAGTGCCATTCTGGCGCTTCAAAGGGGCAGCGCAGCATTAACGCTCGTGAATAATGCATTCATTTTTTTTTTATACGTTAATCCTGTCCTGTGTTAATTGCAGGTGTTAATGCAGATAAATTGACAGCCCTAGTTTAAAGGTATATCCTGTTCATTTGTGACTTCCCTGGAGAGGCTCCTGGCTGAATAAAATTAATGAAAGTTTCCCATTGACGTTAGTGGGAGAATTTGCCTGAAACTCATTGATAGTAGGGTTGGGCCTGGGGGTATTATGATGTTTGGACACCTGCAAGTGCACAATATGTCCCTTGATTGATTTCCAAAGTGGAGTGGTGCTTATCAAAATGAATGTTGTCCAGTATGGGCTTCTAATACCATTTGTTCTCTTCCTTTCAGAGGAAAGTGTAATATCTCCCATTTCTCTGACATATTTGCTGCTAGAGAGTTTAAAGCCCGAGTGGATTCATTTTTCTACATATTGGGCTACAATCCAGAGACAAGGTAAGTGAGTTCAACTCCTCACTCCGACTAATGGAAAGTTTTACCAGAGATCTGTATTATATAAGAATATGCCAGCTACTACAGGAAAGAAGAGAATTAAAGCTTATGATTCCAACGTGATGTGCGTAGAGGAGGAGAGGGTTATCATGTATGTGAACAGATAGTGATGCATATAAAAGGCAAAAATCAATTTATAATCAATGATTTTATCACCAGCAGTGGCTTGTCATGCTGTCTGGAAGTGCTACTGAAGGTTATGGCCTTGATGCTGGAGGGAGAATGGGGAGGGCTGGGAT